GTCAGCTTTTTATTCCAAGGAAATATACCCGAACAATAGAATACTGCTAAAACAAAACTAATACACAAAAAGGGAGACACCACAGATCTGAAAAATTATCGACCAATTTCACTTTTTTCACAACTTTATAAAACTTTTACAAAGATTATTACAAACAGTTTAACAATTGACGGATATCAACCAGTAGAACAAGTCAGATTTAGAAAAGGGTACAGCACCTGTGACCATCCATATACTTTGAAAATACTAATAGAAAAGCCTAACGAGACAATCTCCCATTGTGTCTGGCTTTTATAGATTATGAAAAAGCTTTTGATAGCATATAAATTTGTGGGAAATAGAAGAAGAATTAGTCAACAATCGGATCGACTCCAGGTACAGAATATAAATACATAATATTTACGAACATGGTGAAATAATAGTGACGCTGGGTAATGGAATCGAAACAAGACCAGTAAAAATCAACGGAGGAGTATGGCAAGGAGACACAATATCTCCAAAATTATTTACAGCTGCCCTAGAAATTATCTTTAAGTAAATAGACTGGGAAAATAACGGAATCCCTATTAAAGTAAGATACTTAAACCATCTTAGATACGCAGATGATGTAGTACTAATAGCCGACACGTGGAATACACTAAATACGATGATTGAGGAGCTACACAAAGAATCCCTAAAAAAAGGACTGAAAATGAATTTCAGCAAAACTAAATGAATGTCAAACAAAGATGACAAACCTATGATAAACATCGAAGGGTGAATATACATATCTTGGTCAAAATGTCAAGGTAAGCAAAATACCAGACTACCAAAATAAGCAGACGTGTTAAAATTGGATGCGCAGCTTTCGGAAGACTCTCATACGTACTTAAAAATAAAAATATACCTCAAAGACTGTGAACCAAAGTGTTTAATTCCTGTATCCTACCTGTACTTACATATGGAGCCCAAACCTGAACATTCACTAAAATAAACAAATAAACATGGAGAAGATTAGAAAAACTCAGAGAGCTATGGAATGACAGATGCTGTGTATCTCACTCAAAGACCATAAAACCAATGAAGACATTCATAATAGAACAAAAGTAAAAGATGCTGTTGAACAGGAAGCTAAACTGGAATGGAAATAGGCTGGACATCATCATCATCAATGGTGCTACCGCCCTATGAAAGAGCCTCGACCTTCCCAAGTCTATTACGCCAGGCAGTCCTATCCATTGTCAACCGTTGTCAGTTTGCTGCGCCTATCTTTCTACCATCCTCATCTACACCATCCTTCCATCTGAGTTTTGGCCTACCGCTTTTTCTACTTCCCACGGGTTGTGACATAAGGATTCTTCTAGGAGGGTTGTTCTGCTGTGATCTTGCTAGATGTCCTGCCCATCTTAGTCTTCCTATTCTTATAAGAGATACTAAGTCTTTACCACCAAATATTTGTTTATATCTGTGATATACCTCGTAGTTATATCTTCTTCCTCCAAACACCATTTTCACAGATGCCACCAAATATTCCTCTCAGGATCCTTCGTTCAAATAGAAGCAGAAGGTCTTCGTCTGCCTTGGAGATGGTCCATGTCTCCGATCCATATATCAACACTGGCTGGACATAACGAACGTTTTAAGGATGGCCGATGGAATAAAGAAAGCGGGAATTGGCGGCAATATGAAGTCAAACGACCACGAGGAAGACCACAAATACTCTGGGCGACGATATTAAAAGAACTGCAGGACCAATGTGGAAGCGTCTTACAAACAACAGAGATGAATGACGAGAATTAGGAGAGGCCTATATTCAAAAATCCGAATAGAGAGAAGGGCTTAAAAAAATTTACATAATATTGTTATTCTTTAATATTGTAAACTCTGTATCATAACTCTGTAGGTATTATTATAAACTTTTGCTCCCGTGTCCCGACTGTTTCGGACTAAAAACAGTTTCAAGACCTCTTTAATAATAGTTGATATGTTATAATAAATATGGTGTTTTGGTAGATGATTAGTCAGACAAAACAATTATATCTTCTCATATTTTAGTAACTCTGAGCCACTAAATTTGTATTTGACTTTAACTTTTCTGAAAAAAACTAGCAAAATCTCGTTTTATAACCTTTAAAATATTTAAATCACGTAGTAAACAAATTATTTTTTACATAAAGGTGATCGGTTATTATACATAATATCCTCATCTGTTGTTTGCAATTTGCTTAATTTGCATTGCATAATAGCCTTTACTGCCGGCTGTAAATACCAAAAGTTCTTTTCTAAAAGTGAAAATACCATAAAAACCGACTGATGATCGCGACCAGCTAAAATTTTACACTTTCACGCCTTATACAAAACCAATCTCAGTTCAATCAAAATGTTAATACTTAAATAGTCGTTAAGATTCACTGAGCAATAGATTTCAATGACCACTAGTTAATCATTGGATTATAATTACTTTATTAGTTTGTACGTTCTTATAAATATTGTAATCTGGTTATTGGAGTATTCGTGAAAGTTTTGAGGCAAACTTTGTCAATATAAAATTAAACAATAATTGTCGTAATTTGGTTACAATGATAAACAAAATATCCTTTAAATTCAAGTTCATGTTGACATTTGTCAACAGATAGTCTATGCCGCAACGTTTGATTTGTTATACATACTGTTATAGTTATACCACGATACCCTTACACACTTACACACTTGTGTGTGTATCGTGAGTTATACATATTTCCGATTTAATCTTCTAGGTATAATTGTATACAGGGTCGGACTTATATACTGATACATTTTATCAAAATTACGGCAATCCCACAGAGTAAAAGAAAAATACGTATAACTAATCTTCTTCTTAGTCGTTAACCTGATGCAGATATCGTGATATCATGAAGCTATTAGCTAAATTTGCCAATGTTCCTCCACGTTTTTCTATCTTCTGCCATTCTAGCACATTCTGACAATGGAGCGCTAATGATAGCAACAATATGGTCCGTGTATCGTGTGGGAGATCTACCTCTATTTCTTTTGCCTTCTACTTTTCCCTGGATGGTAAGTTTTTCAAGACCATTTCTTCGAAGCACATGTCCAAAATAGCTTATTATTTGTTCTGATATTTGTGTTCTTAGTCTTTTCTTTATGTTTAGCTGGTCCAGTATGGATTCATTTGTTCTTCGGGCCACCCATGGTATTCTCAGCATTCGTCTCCAGCAGTACATCTCAAATACATCTATGTTCTTTTTGTCTTTCTCAGTAAGGGTCCAGCATTCCGATGCATAAGTAAAAACTGGAAAAACTAGACTTCTTACTAGTTTCATTTTTGTATCGGTAGTTATTTCATGGCTTTTCCAAATTTTTGTTAATTTTGCCATAGCGCTTTTTGCGATTGCTGACCGCCGCTTTATTTCTTCAGTACAGCCTCCTTTGTTGGTTATTAATGAGCCCAGATACACAAATTTATCTACAACAGCGATATTGTTTATCATGACCAGATGATTTTGATTGTTGTTAGCTCTGTCAATTATCATGATTCTCGTTTTATCTCTGTTTATTTTAAGGCCCATCGTTAAACTTACGTCTTCTATCCGTTGTAGCAGGTGAATCAATTCAGCTTTCGAACTAGCGAGGATAGTAGTATCATCTGCATAAGTATCTCAAGTTGCAAATCTTCTTCCCGCCAATGGTGATGCCACCGTTCCAGTCCTCAGTAGCTTTTCGCATTATCCATTCACCATAGATGTTAAATAGAATTGGGCTTAGATTGGACAAATAAGGGCGCTATTCAATTATTTCGGCATTTACTTATTTTGCCAAACTGTTAAGCGAAAGATTCTCTCTTGAAGTATTTCGCCGTCTTCCTTAAAAATCTCTAAGATACCTCTTTCTTCTTCCCTCTTGTTATTTTTTAAATCTCTTATTCATCATCATCGTGTGCTACAGCTCTAGTTGAGCCTTGACCTTCCCAGCTATTCGCAGCGTTTCTTCATCACCAACCGTTGCCATTTGCCGCGCCGATTTTCCTTGCGTCAAATCTCTTATTACTTCTTTAAATTATTCAGAATTGGTTCCTAGCACGTCGTGCATCTCTATCGCTATTTCATTTCCTCAGGTCGCTTGGTCTGTATTTTTAAGAGATCTCCGATTACTCCGTTCATTTGGTTAATTTTTCTGTACTTGCTTTCAAAAGTAAACCTTCTTTGTTTCTGTAATAGTTTGTAATATTATATTATAGTCTGTATATATAGTTTGTAATTATCTGTTAGTTTCTTTTGATTTCTTACCTTTTTGGTTGAAATGTTTTACGTCTTTGTTTATGGCTAAGCTTCTTCTATGTTTTTTAATTGCTTTTCTAGCTGTTCTTCTTTCTTTCTTCTGCAAATTATTTTAGATTTTCTTCTAGTCACATAGTTTTCGATTGGAGATCACCTTAAGACAATTAAAGCTAATTGCGATCACCAAAAAATGACGTCTTAAAGAAAATGAATGACAAAACGTATGACAAATGGGATTAGAAACAATAGGAGGTAATTTATCAGTAGTTTATATTTGAGTCTGGATAATGATATGAGAACTCTTACTAATATTACAAATAATGTCGATTAATATATGGAAGAAATTAGACTGAATATTAGAACTAAATATTAGAATATTAGACTGAAATTAGAAAGAAGTCGTTGATTAAAGAAACTTTATATGACTTTGAAATATTTGTTAAAAATTGTTTCTATTTTCTCAAAATATTTTAGTAGGTATAAAAGTAAGGAATATTTTAAAAAACAAATGTAAGTTTGCTTCATTACTACAACTTTCTTTCCATTCAAAAGTATTTACTTGACAACCACTGACTACATGCATTTATCAACCGATATTTTAGATTAAATTATGGCTTTAATAATGATTTCCTTTTTCAGGCATACTATTCCTAAAACAATTTTTATGTATTTTTAAAAACATTTAGACTTTATTACATTGTTTGCAAATTTTTGTTGCTATATTTATTAACGTTTAATTTTTTGTAGCAAATGGTGGCGTACTAGTCCAGGACGCACCAGCTTGCCCAGAGCAGCATGGAGTACAAGCTTACGCCCACCCTGAATCCTGCAACCTGTTTTTCCTTTGTACAAACGGAACCTTAACAGTAGAAACTTGCGAAAATGGTTTGCTCTTTGATGGAAAAGGCAATGTATACAATCATTGCAACTACAACTGGGCTGTTGATTGTGGAAAGAGGAAAGCTGACTGTGAGTTTTACCATAAGTATATAATTTAATTCATTAGTGTTTCTAGTAATTAAATCATAATAATAATCATAGTCAAACATTATGATTGGCAGGGATAATCAGACCGATGAAATAAAGAGAAGAATCGATCTTGGGTCGGCAGAATATGGAATACTAAGAGAAACTTTTAGTGAGGTGATCACAAGCCTGAAGAGAAAAGTCTTGGATTAATGAGTCCTTCCAGCGTTGAGATACAAAGCAGAAGCACTTACTTTGATAAAAGCTTCGGCTACCAAACTTAGGGTCATACAGAGAAGATCCATGTTAGGAATGACTCTGCGAGACAAAATAAAAAACGAAGAGGACAGGAGAAGAACCAAGGTGGCTGAAATCATCGAAAGGATACACAAATTAAAATGGAAATAAAGATTATTTTTATTATGTCCTGCTCAAAAGGACCCTGGGTATAATGCCCTGCCCCCTTTTGGACAGGATATAATAAAAAGAACACATGAAAAATAATATTTATATCTTAAATGATATTGATATATTTTATTAGTTATTAACCGATTTATCTGTGTTATATAGTAACGCCCATCAGCACTCCAGGATGTGAATACCAATTTGGCATTTACCCAGACGGCCCAGAATGTTCAGTTCACTTTATCAAATGCGAATACGGAGAACCAATTCCCAACCAATGTGATGCAGGTCTAGTTTACGATGAACGCATCCACGGATGTAATTGGCCAGATCTTTTGGCAGAAAAATGTAACCCAGAAGGTAAGATTGTATTCTTAATGAGTTTTGTTTACGTGACAAATCAATAACGTTTTTATTGTAATTAGCATTTTTGAAAGAAAGAAATTTTTTGCACTTATCTTATTTTGATCTGGTAGCACATTAAACACATTGTATTGTTTTATCTTTTTGTTCTTGTATTTTTACTTACGAGTAAAAACTTACCTCTTGTTCTCAATAGAACAATATACTTATCATGTACGAGTAGATTCTTTTTTACGCCTTCTGTAATAGGCATTTGGTTTGACAACTCCAGAAGACCACAGATTTAATTACTGCGCAGCAACAAGCGCAATGCGCAAATGAATATCGGGTTTACCAGGAAAAGAAGTTTTATTAATAATTCTCTATGTCCCATTGTTAGTGCTACAACTGCCCTACCCAACCATTGGCCAAGTACTTGCCCAAAATTCTACAACCTTCTGCCGAAAATGCTTTATTCCTCGTTAAAAAGTATTTTTATTTAATCGAACTACTTAAACAATACCCTATCTTACGGTCAGACATTCTAGTAAGTTTCGGTATCGTTTCACTCTTTACAAATATTCCTATATACAAACCTCTAAACATTCTGAAAACTAAATACAATTTCCAGCAGTCTCTCATTAAACATTGTATGTCCAACACTTATTTCATTTTCTAAAATTAATTCTACAAACAAATAAATGGTACCCTAATGGGCTTCCCGCTATCTCCAATCATTGCCAATATCTTTATAAAAGATTTCAAGACCGAACACTATCCACATCAACGCTCAAGCCCACATGTTAACTACGATATGTTGATGATACATTCATCATTTGGTCCCATGGCAGAGATGCTTTGGTGTCTTTTCAAACCCATCTGAATGGTATACATCCCAGTATTCAGTATCTACTGTTTCTCGACATTATCATTAAGAAAAACCAATTCCAAGTCTTCACCACTCTGTTTATCGACAACCCAGCCATACCAATCGTTACTTACACAAATTAATTCATTCATTAATACTTTTGCTTCTAGATCAATACGCATTTGCGATGATGCAAGTAGACTCGCTGAGCTCTCTAGTTTTAAACAAGCCCTTATTCAAAACGGTTAACGCGAAAATCATATCCATAAGAGCCTCCACTTGATTTTGAATACTCCAGAGCCATAGCCACTATCCGCTTCTAATAAACCAAGAATTATCTGAAAGGCCATAGAAATTCAAAAAAGGCCAAATTGTTTCAATAAAAGATATGACGGCATACTTAATCCCTACGCTAACCCACACGAAAACCTCCACCAAACCACGTCACCATCGACGCTATAAATGAACCCTACTTTGTTCCCAGTGGCTGTAATGCATTAGTTAGTGATCAGTGTAGTAGTCTTCAACCCGGAAGACTGTTAAGTTTAATGTTAATTTTTGTAGTAGTATTAATTTTAGCTCTGGGTTTAATTGTACTAACCACGAAAATCTTTCTTTATGTCGCTTAGCATATGACGGATCTTGACAATACAAATTTAATAAACCATACAAAATTTAATAAAACGCTTTTTTTCATGTACCTATAATAATTTTTAAGTTCTTACAGCTGTTGTCGGCTTCAAGTGTCCAACCAAGGTCCCGTCCAATAGTCCCGCAGCCAAGTTCTGGCCTTACCCTCGCTTCCCCGTTCCTGGTGACTGTCATCGTTTGATCACCTGCGTTAACGGATACCCACGACTTATCACTTGCGGAGAAGGCAAAGTAGTTGACGAGCACAGCCTCTCATGCGAAGAACCAGAGCTCGTGCCGCACTGTGCTAATCACATCAGAAAGTAAAGAGGTATCGAGTCTGGAAGTCGAGTCGTACGGATGTTTTAGTTTAGTTATTTTTGGGATTTTAAATAATTATGATTGATGGCAATTAGATCTGGAAGCTATAGATGTAAACGAGATACGATTAATAGTTGTAAAAACTTTGATACTTATGTACAGTGTGTTTTTTCTGCATAGTATTATGTAAGTTTCTTCACATAAATATAAACATATTTTTTTTCTTCTGCATCTACAGCTACCACATTTATTCCATTAAATAGAGAGTAAGGCTACTTTATGCTTGACCTAAATTATTTCAAAGCTGGTGTATAGAATATTTTTAAAATTAAATTTGTATTATATATGTAAAATGACAAACATTTAATTTAATTCGCAATTTAATTGACATACATTAAATTGTTTTAATGTATTACAAAGAGGAACCAATGAAAGTTCACTCCATATGTAAACTCACCATTATGTTCTCCAACATCCAACATGCCTATCCGTGGCTGCAATAACTTTCCATTTAATGAAAACTACGGTTAGCGTAGCTTTTGCAGCTGTTGAAGTTTGAAATAAATAGAAATTGGAATGACACAAATCTGGAAAACAGGGTGGATGTTGCTAGTGGTAAAGATAGTGCAAATACTCCTGACCATGGAGCTGCGCGAAGGCGAAGTCAAAATTCACGTAAAAGCAGAAAGGTTCTATTGTGCATAGTACAATGCGTTTCGCATGGGAGTGAGGACTAAACCAAATTTCGTCTACTGTGCCGTTGTCACTATCTCTAGTAGTTAATTTCATTAATTTCACCTTTAGTGTGATTATCTTGGTAACAAGTGATTTTTATCTTTTGTAAAAGATTTTTGTAATATCCTCTTTTTATTAACTTAAGGATTTGGAGGATATCAATTCACAAAATTCCGTTCATCCGAAAAACTGATGCCTTTACCTTCTTAAACTATTTACTTCCGTTCTCTTACTTCAAAGCTTATCAACCGGGTTCAGTCTACTCTACAGTTTTTTGTGACAATTCAGGATTATCTATTAAACTCAACTCTCATATACAGTTCCTAAACAATGCGCAAACTCAATCCGATTCTTCTAAAATGTTAGGGGGAAATTCTTACTTGAATATGTTTTTGATCAAAAATTAACAAATGTGCTCAAAATCATGTCAGTAATTATCTCAGATCTATTTTATTGTTTAAAATATAAAAAATGAATGTGAGGCTCTCATATGCAATTTCAGAATTGGTCAATCATGTGTCTAACAAAACCATATCATATACGTAATTAATAATTTCTTCAGTACGTTCTTTCTTTTTATTGTACGTCCAGATCCAGGATGATTTTCACGACTTGAATGACCACTTTGAAACCTATTAGCTTACTCACATATTTTTTGTAGCAGCATACAGCTTTTTACCTTTATTTTAAACTTTTTTCACCAAGAACTTTATTACTAAATAATATAAGCAAAAAAGTAATTGTTACAAAACCTTACTACAAAACTCCTGCTAAGCTATTTTTTACGTGAGTAATAAAAATTGGTGTTTCAATAAATAGGTGCCCCTATTTATTGAAACCAAATATTATAATTTGCAATCCTTTTTTATCACGAGGAAGAAAAATCTTCATAAAACACTATTGAATATGTGTGAACAGTAGGGTGTGATTTTTATTCACCAAAAACCTTTACCCGTTGATTAAAAGTTGATTAGGAGCTCGTGTATTTTGTGTGGTAGTACTGCAAATCCTAAATATCATCTTAAGAATTATACCATTTACGAGGTTTCAGTCTTTCTCGCTACGGACCATCAATTTAACCAGTCTATTTCACTGTGATCCTCATACCTAAGCACATCTTAGACTCTTTTTCATGCAAACCTCAAGTACAAAAATTATCATATATAACAGTGTCTTCGTACCATCATTGGTAACTTATACACAAATTAGTCTTTTCCCTGTCAATCTGCTTTAAGTAGAAAGCAAAATGGTCATGGCCGAGAATTGTGCAAAAATATCTATTTGAGGCTGAGAAAACCGAAGTATATTAACAGGTAATCCTAACGATATTATTACAAATAAAATACCTAATAGACCTACGATTAAGTTCTCCAGATAAAAAGAGGTCCAGGTATTATGGTGCCAATAATATAAACAAAACATTGATATGTTTTAAAAGTGTGGCTATCCATCAAGATTATGACATGACACATTCTACAGATTTTGTTAAAATGAGAAAATAAACAACCAAAGAGGAAAGATACTGAAAAATATTCGCAAGAACACAAAAATGGGTCGATTTTCAATAAAAGTAATAAAACAATGGGCCAAAATGTACCTTCGTCCCCAAGATGTTTAAAATAATAAAAATACTGTTACAGACTAAGCTCCTCAACAAACAATTAAATGAAAAGACGATCCAGTGGTTATGCATCCAAAACTACACGATTATGTTTGAGAAAAGTACTATTACAGAAACGCAAGCAGTGAAAAGTCAGAAAAAAGAAAACAACAGCAAGAAATGTATAAACTAAGGCAGATCTTCCTCCTCCTAAGTGCCTTCTCTGTTGAGGTTGGCGATCAATATGTCAAATTTCTCTCTGTTCTGGGCTTGATGAATTAATTCATTTTCTCTTGTGTGGGTCCAATCTCTGATGTTTCGTAGCCAAGATTTTTTCTTTCATCCTATGCCCCTTTTATCTAGACCCTCTTGCCTTTAAGGCAGATGGACGAATGAAAACGCAGTCATGTTACCCAGAGAGACATTTAAGCAAGATCATTGTAGAATGAAAGAATAAATAGAGGGCTTATGTCAAAAGTTTATGACTAATGAAATGAAAACAAATTTCGAATTTCGATTGATTTATTTTTTATAATTTCATCAACCAACTCTACATCTACCAAAACAACAAAATGGACAGCTTACAGAATCTATAGAAATATGTAACGAAATAAAACGGGGGGACTCATTGAGCCCTTTGCTCTTCAATCTCTTCAATGTAATCATGGATGAAATCATCAAAAGCGTTAACAAAGGAAGAGCATACAGAATGGGAAACAGAGAAATAAAATACTCTGTTACGTAGATGACGCAATATCGATAGCCCAAGATGAAGACAGTCTGCAAAGACTGGTCCACAGATTTAATACAAGAGCAAAAGAATTTAATATGACAATTTCATCTCAGAAAACTGAAACAACAGTATTCAGCAAAAAACCAACCAGATGTAAAATAAAAATTAATGAGCATTAGTATTGAACAAGTAATGGAAATAAAATAAGTTGGAATTACACTGTCCAGCTATGGAGACCTGGACAAAGAAGTGAGAGATCAAGTACAATAGGCAAATAGACTGACAGGATGCCTTTATAACAATATATAGCGAAACAGACACATTACAACGGAAATATAGTTAAGAATCTATAAAGCCAGTGTAAGACCAATAATAACATATGCCTCAGAAGCAAGACCCGACACAGCAATGACACAAAGGCCACTGCAAACGGCCGGAGAGGCGTAGATGAGAGTACTGAGAAGAATTAAAGGAAATAGGCTGAGAGATCGAAAGAAAACTGGAAGACATTAGACAAAAATGTAACGTACAATGTATAAATAAATGGACACTAAATAGAAAAATAGAATGGAATAACCACCTAAGCAATGGGAGAGATCCATGTCAATAAAATAGTAAGAGATAAGTCACCAATCGGCAGAAGAAGTATCGGAGGACTGCACAAAAGGTGTAGTGACAACCTTCCATAGAGATATGAATCCGCCAATGAACAAGCAGAATTGCGTGTAAAGAGAAAAGAAGAACTCTACTTCGGTTTAAATAATCCAACGTATCCTACATCTGTAAAACCAGCCTAATTTTTATTTCGGTCTGTTGCTCTTCAAGTAAAATTATTTTTAGAAGCTATGAAGCTCTAACGGATATTTTATTTACTAGCTTATTGTTGTTTTTAATAATGCGCAAATATTTATGGTATTTCTTTTACATTTGGATATAGAGAGTAAGAACAACTAATATATAAAAAGATCTGAAAACAGCACAAATTCTATTTAAGGATGAACCTATTTATTAGTTTTGGAAATATTTATATTGCATATGTGAGCCTTACTCTTTATATATTAATAAATTTTACAGAAATTAAAAGACTCGACTATTTTAAAAAATATATATATTTCAATTTTGGATTGTATATATTTTTCACAAGAACTTTTATATATTATGAAACTAAATACATAACTAGACAACAATTGTCACAAACTTAAGACTGCATTTATCAATATTTCTTTTTTGATTACATGCTCCATTCACCAAATTTTAAGTAATATGCGAAATATCTACAATTCGAGTGCTGTAATTTAGTTCACTCTTCTTACTTTTATCTACCATACAATATTAGACATATATTCCCGTATCCTGTAATCCCTTTCTAGCATGTTTTTTAAGTATTGCAACTATAACATAACTGATTTCTTTAATACAATGCTGCAATTTATATCTTGTTTAACAGCTCATAACAAAATACATACAGATAGAACGATATAAATTCGGAACATACGAAATATATGTGTTTCGGCTTTACTTTGCTCTAGGTGGTTAGCCAACAAAAGGTTGTCAAATAATTTTAAATTATAAAAATCCAATATTTCAGCGAGCTGCTGGATTCTGAACTGATAGAAGATAGTAAGAACAAATCAAAACTCCACCCAAAAAGGTTCCCCGCCCATCACGTATAAAAATTGAAAGCTACACTTGTACATTTCAGCAGTGTTGCCAACTGGAGGAAAATGTTCGTTATTTATTTAGTTCTGTCACGTTGGATGAGAGAAATCACATGACATGAAATTCGATCAATAACGAATTCAATAACGACGTATTTCAGTTGAGTCAATTTATCTTTACCCGTGCGTCATGATTTTAAGCATACGAAATCGGTCGGAAATTTACTCAACGCAACAGCAAGTGACAGAAAGTAAATATGACAATCTGTGTGAATAAGGT